AATTTTTTAACTATTTAACATCCATTATATAATTAAATAAATTCATAGGGGTTTACGCTATCCCATTGACTTTTGGCAGGCAACACATCATTATCCAAAAGTAAAACTTAATTGGATATTAATAATATTATCTGTGTTGAGAAGATAAAATTAGGGTTTTTTGGTGGCCGGTCCACTTTAGAGGATAATTGGCTGAATATGTTCAAGCAATTTTTTAAGGCTAAAAACGCAATACCTTTCCAAAAGTCTCATTTACCATTATTTAAAAAAAATTGAACACCTTAATGATCTGCACAAAAATTGCTCATTTTAATATTCAAACAGATGCAAAAAATCCTTCATTTTAGGACATTCCATATAGAATATATATACTGCATATATAAACCTAATTGTCTTTTTCATATATATATTTACTGCATATATATAAGGGTTATATCATGTCACCATGAATGTGTCACAATATCCCTTTGACTGTTTTTATCGTGTATGAATATACGAAAAGTCTAAATTTGGAGAGAAAAATCAACCTACCATGGCCATTACTATTGAATCCAATAAATGTTGCCAAAACGAGCTGCGCAAGACCATGTCCACCATGAATCTTTTGAATTTACAACAACAACGGATGGTTTTATTGAAGACAACAATCAACAAAACCTCTCAGTGATACATAGTGGAAAAGAGAGATAGAATAAAGAGAATAAAAGAGAGACAGAGAAGGATAAGACAACGATGGAGAATAGAGATATAATACATAAAATAAAATAGAGAGAATAGGAATTAAAGGAGAGTAATTGAAGGAAATGAAAAAAGAAAGATAGAGTTGAATGAAACTGTAAGACCTTCTAATATAATTAAACATGGATAATATTATCTTAACAGTTTTCTAAACTAACTAAAACAATGGTAGAAACTTTGATTGATGTTGAAAGAATAGTTGTAAAGTTTGATTTTTGCACGTGTTGGTTCTCAAGTTAAATTTAGTTTTAGATGCATTTAGCCTTAAGAAAGGTTGCTAGGTAAGTTTCTAAAATTTCAAGGTCAAAATAATATTATCATTGAATTCGGGAGGTCAAAAAAACTTGGGATAGGCATTCGATTCGTATAGTGGTCAGGAGGGATAAGATTGTAATTTTGGTATTTTTGGTACTTTATTCTATAAGAGATCAAAAATGCTTATTGATTAAGATGTTGGTGATTAAAGGTGAATCTTAAGTGTTACAAGATCACTTAGGATAATTTTAGAGATTGAAAGTTGAAACAAAAAGAAGTTTGGAGGTATTCTGGGCCTCAGACATATTTTGGAGAGAATTCGAGAAGGAAAGAATTTGACACTACCTCAGTATTTTGGCAATAAATTGTTACCTCAATGCTTGATTGCGCTGATTCTTATTCCATTAGAAAGAAAACTTTAAGGTCTACAAAAGTGTATATCATGAAAAGTTCATGAATCGACTTCTAACTAGATAAAAAATGGGCTGCAATTTTGGGGCAAAAGTCCCCTACGTGCAGATGAAAAAAGAGCAAGTCTAGACGCACCTCTGAAACTTCTCGTAGAGATTTGGGTCCGTCCGAATGAAAAAATCTGCGTCCGGACGTGTGAACGTCTACCAAAATCGAGTTTCTCAATTTTACATCATTTGACCTATTCTTGGGACTATATAAACCATATGGATTCATTTTAGGGGTTCTTTACACGAATTTCAACTCAAAGAGCCTATAAGAGACTTGAAGAGAAGAAGATAAGGAAGATGAAAGAGATCGGCTCAGATTATGCGGGATCATAAAAAATAACTTATAATACTCTAGGACCGATTTCAGTGGAATCAAGATAGGGTTTCTTTCCCTTTCATATTCATTAAGATTAGGGTTACTATATATGTAATTTTTTACTTCTATTCGTATAAGTAATTACAGATCCACAATGACTTTTAGCTTTTATTGAAAAAACATGATGAAATCTTATTGAAAAAATACCTGATTTTCAATTCTCTATGCATTTTGAGTTCACAAACCCTAGATCTTGAATAGTGATAATTAGAGAATGTTTTTTCTTACAATCTCACACATGTTTTAATATTCTCTTTTATTGGATTTACAAATTATCAAACTATCATTTCTTACATAATTGGATTCATTTGGAAAGCATGATTGTACTCTCTTGAATTGGTGGGTTTGATAAACTTGAATGCACTCGAACATATATCGCAGAGTATTTAAGTGAATTTCTTACCTTGAGGGGTTTGAAAATTCCTTATCTCTCATAGTGGAGTGTAGATTCCTTGCGGGGTTCCAAACTACTATTCGTTCACGTTGACCAAGGTAAACGATTAGTGTGATAATCCTTGAAAGATTTAGTTGAATACTGAGGCGCCAGTATACGCATTTCCTAGAATGATGTAGCCCTAGCATAATTGATTGGATGATTTGTACTTGTGGTGTTGTGGACCAGATGTATTTCGGTGTATTGAATTCTTGTTAACTAAATTGTCTGCTATATCTAGAGTGATTATTTGATGACATTCTTGTGCATGAATAAAAATATGAGATTGTTAATAATATTAATCAAATGCTTTATATATATAGGCTTGTCAACATATTAGATTTTGATTAATCCAAATTCAAGTTTAAAAGTCTGGTCCGAATTCAATCCAATTATCTAGCAGATCACATTTTGTGATCCATATCCAGATCTGTTAAATATTCAAAATTCATTTCGATCTAAAAATAAGGCATGTTTGATTTTATTATATTTCAAATCATTATTTAGGCTTGCGAGAGTTTCCACTAAGCTAATTTTTCTCACACCTTAATATTTTTTAAATTTAGGGATTGAGACTAATGGCAGCTTAAATGAGCATGTGGATGGATATTTTGAAGCGGATCAAGATGAGGATTTAGATATTGATGCTTGATGATTAGTTGTTTTGTTTATCTTGATTTCTTTTGAATGTTGGAAACAATTTATGGACTTTTATGGTGGATGTAGCTAATTATGAGTTGAATAGTTATTCGTAGATTTTTGGGATGTACCCCTTTTTTTTAACGAGTCATTGTTTTTTAAGATTATAATTAAATTATTGACATCGTCTAATTCAGTGATTTGTATTAATTAATAATTAGTATCCTCCCTCATAGGTTAAATTCTGTTTTATGTAAATCATGTTGTTTGAAGATTTGGGGCGTGACATAAAGAGATTGGAGAGAAAGAGAAAAAAACTTAAATAAGATATAGAAGAGAGAGATGGAAGAGAAAGGAGAGAGAAATAATGATATTGAAGAGATAAGAATCTAAATAAGAGATAGAGAGAGAAAGACGGAAGAGAGAGAAATTAAAGGAATAGAGAGGAGAGAGACATAGTGAGATGGAAGAGAGAAGGGGGAGAAAAAATATTTAGTAATTGAAGGAATAGATGTTGAGGAGACTCATAAATGTGAGAATTAATATAAAGGGTATTCTTGTTATTAAAAATTTTAAAAATAACAACTTGAGATCACACACTTCATTTTTTATACATACAAGCACTTAAAATCTTAAAAAGTACATGTTTGTACTTATTAACAAAAAATTGGCTAAACTATACTTATTTATAATATTCAAATGAAATTAAGGATAAAATATATTTTTAGTCTCCAAATATTGCATTTTGTGTTATTTAATTCTCAATCTTTCAATTGTATCAATTAATTAATCTAATATTCAATTTGTGTCACCTTAGATCAATTGAAAAGACCACTTTAAATTGACTGATAGATATAAGGGACCACGCACTTAAAGACAATTTTTGAATTGGCAAGGGACTAAAGGATAAGGGTGTCAATCGTGTTGTGTCGTGTCATTTTTGGTCATGTTATTTTTATGTCGTATCACTTTCGGTACGTGTCGGATTTATATCACTATTCGTGTTAATAAAAAATTATTTAATTTAACAACAACTAATATAATATTATTTAAAAAATTATAAAATTCTTATTTTCTATCTACAAAACTCATTAAATAATTATTTTCTATCTAGTATACTAATTAATGGTGTTATTCGTATTGAACCTTAATTTAATCAATTTATTACTCGTGTCAACTAATCGTGTTATTTTCGAATTCGTGTCAGATTCGATTCGAGTCGGGTTAATGTTTGAGTCAAAAATTGACACCCCTACTAAATGACCAAAATAAAAAATATTCAAACTTGAAATATCGAAGTAATCTCTTAAAAAGAGTTTACTTAAACGGCCATTTTTATTGGACTACTGACAAAGTAAAAACTTCAGGGATAAAAATGATATAATTGAGAGAATAAGACCCGGATTGCCACAAGGCAAATACTTTAGAGATTATTATTATATGTAAAAATTGCCATAGATTGTTGAAAAACTCAAAAGTAGTGGTGGGGTTCTTCACAAAAGCGAGATGGCCCAAAAGTGAAAAACACTGTCATCCACCCACATGCAGCTCTCATCCAAATCACATCCCCACCCTCACCAGATTAGACACACGCCACCAGAAGAGACCATACTTTCCACACAACTCCAAGTAGAAATTCTATAAGCTCTAAAATGCAGCATTTTGCTCAACAACCAAGCTCATAAACTCATTCATCCATTCCAGGGACAAACCACTCCAAGAGAGGAGTCAATAAACAAATAATATAAAAGGAAAATGACAAAGGCCTGTTTCTTTTAAGCTTATGGGAAACTTGGCCACCTCCACCATCTCTTACATGGAGAACTTTTCAAGGAAAAAAGCAAAAGAGTCAAAAACCTCCCACTAGAACAAAGATCACATTTACCAACCCAACCTACGAAGACAAAAACGAAAGAAAAAAACAGGTATACAGAACAGAGATTAAGACATTAGACTACACTGAATAATACAACAGAGGTTGTTATGGAGTCTCTACTCTCTCTTCATGAGCAATTTGGGTTTCTACCAGGGCCTCCAAAGTAAAAGTAGTGACCCCAATCACCATTGTTGCCAGTTTGCACATCATAGCAGTTCGATTGCTCAGTGAAGGTGCCAATACCTTTGGGAGCCTTGAGATTGTTGGAGCTATCAACAACCTGAATGTTCCTGAAATAACTTGCTTTGCCAAATCCTTCTTCAGGAAAATGACCACTACCCATTTGTGTTGAGGTGTGCTGACCATTGGGGTCTGAATTCACTACCTCACCACCCCACTCAATCATGGTAGCACTATCTGCCAAGTATGAGAACAAGAAAGAAGGCCAATAGCCCAACACAAAGTCATTGCCAAATTGCATCCACCAATGTCCCTCTTTTGGATCCTACAAAGAAAGAAAATTGAAGGGTAAGTAATAAGCAACTTGTTTTTTTTAAAAAGAGACCCTTAGTTTATATATTTACTTTTCCAACAATGCAGTGAAAAATCTGAAACTACAGATTTCTTGACACAAATGTTATGCTGAGCAAGGCATGAGGGTGAATGTCAAATCTTGAGTTATTTTTCAAGAATAAGAGTGACCTTCATCAAATGCAGTCAGTTTCTAGGTCAGAGACCAAAGCAAGACGCCAAAGATTCTTAGCATCTAACCCATGATGACCTTTTCGCACCTCAATTATACATGGGTGATGCTGTTGTTACTTCCCAAAAAGCTTAGGGCACTATACTAAACTTTTTTTTAACTATGAAAACGAAAGGACTATCCTCATGATGTTTTCCAACCATATTTATGTAAATATTGATGACTCTTTAAGGGCAATTAAGTAGTTTCAGTACAGGGTGAATATGCCAAACAGCACACATGTTCAGCTACATTTCTTGACTGCTGACACTGCCAAGGATGCATTTGCACGTCTAGTGATTCTAAAATCCATTCTTGACCATATCACCTTCATTATCTTTTTCTATACACTCCGCTATTGTAAATTATGCAAATGGTGCCCATCACTCCACCAGAGGCTAAGTGGGGTGGATTTGGATTTCACCTTCCAGACAAGGATGCTGATATCATATTGGGAGTTTCTGTAGGCAGAAACAGGGGAGATGCTTGCACCCATAGCTATTTGGCTGTTGATTTGAATGAAGCCTGAGCAGAGAAGATTGTAGCATCCAGTGGCTTGATATGCATCACTCTGCAAATTTAGTAGAGGGGCAAATCAGTGAGAACCGGTTGGGACAAGTTAAAATGATAAACTAGAAAAATGGAGTGTAAATTTTGGAAGCTTACCGTCCAGTAAGTGAACAATCTTGTGTTGTTGTCACCATAAAGATCTGGGCTGACCTGAAACCATGTAAATCCTACCATCAAATTCAATAAAAGAGCAAATTATGCAATGGATGTATATATATATTCGTAGTCATTTTCAGTTCCTTTCTTTTACCCCATGGGCTAACTTAGAATTGGGGTAACAAATTACCTGCCAACCAGCTTCAATGCTGTTGAGATCTTCACCAAAAGAACCACCCAGTATCCAAATCTGAGACAAGCTGAACTCATTAGGCTGCTGTATCTTGGGCTCCCATACGTTTATGGTTGCTTTTGCTCCATAATATGTATCTCCTTCAACATATGCAATTGCATGCTGATAGCCCCCAATCAAAACAAAATTGCATTAAAGAAAATTCATTCAGTAAAAACTGCAAAGAAATCAAAACCAAATTACAGTTCAACTTTTTATCCCTTTCCTTCTTTATTTTGTCACATTAATCATAAAGAGAACCTTTTTCCTGTCCTTCATTTACCTGATGACCACTTTCATTGACAAGATCAGGATCTGCAGACCTGGGCTGAGGTATGGTTCTATGCTTCTTCTTTCCATACCTTTTCACTGAGCTTGCTCTTAAAACATCATCTTTCTTTGTTCGCCTTATGGGTATGGTATCTTCAGGGCATCTACCATTCATTTGCCACAACTGAGTGACTGGGTTTGTTGTTTCCTTGGTGGACACCTTACTCTCATCATATAGACCTTCTGGGTGATAGCTAGGCCTCATCTGAGAAAACCCAAATAAAACATAAAAATAGTACCCCCAAAAAAAAAAAATTGTGACATCACTTACAAGAATTTGAGCGTTAAAATGTACCTGGATTTTGTGGTCTTTAAGGAATGGATGATCAAAGGCTGGCTGATGAGAGATGTGCACGCAGTCAATGGTATCCCCATCAGGGCTCTGTGTAAATGGTTGAAAAATCGAATCACCAAATGGCAAAAAAACTACTTCCATGGAAAACAGAAGAAAAAATAATGTAATTCAGAAAACAAGTAAAATGCTTCAGATGCATATTAATAAATAAAAACCCAAAACAAATACGTATATAAAAAGGGTAATAGATATAAAGATATAGATAGATGAGGGAGGAAATAATCACAGAATCATTTCAAGGAACAAAATCCCACAATGGTTGTTTTGAAATTTTAGCAAAGGAGAGAAATCAAGAAGCAAAAACACTCATCAAGCACAACCCATAAGGCCCGTTTTATCAGCGCAATCAAACAGAGATTTTGTACTCACTTGAATTGTTTTAACGGCGGGTTTGTTGATGCGCTTTAAATGCTTGTGGACTTCAAGCTTCTGCCGGGAGGAAGGCAGCCTACCGGCGCCAGATAGAGATATCAGACACCAGAAAGAGAAGAAGAACAAAGCCCGAGCAACTGCTATTCTCGTCCGCTCTCTTCTAAACTGCGCAGCTGCCATACTCAACCCCACCACCCAAAAATACAACCCAAATGCCCAAACCCAAGTACCAGAAATGAGCTTAAACTACACTCCCTACGTAGGTTAGAGCTCAAGCCCACTCCACCATGGCCAACCCCCTGCTTAACTCACACTCTCTCTCTCTCGCTCGCTCGCTCGGTGTGTGGCTGCTAGACGGCACTCTTTCTCTCTCTAGAACATTTATTTTTTCTGTCTTCTTTTCCCTTTATTAACACGAGGGCTAAAGAGAGGACAAAAGCTCCGAATGGAAAAGTGGATCGGTGGAGAAAAATGCATCGATTCATCCATCACGGACCAGCCCCCCTGCATTCTTTGTCGTCTTGGGAGGCCCCACAAACGATACTGTTTTGTTTTCCATTTATACCCTTTGAATTCAAAATGTGACTCTGACTTTATTACCTAATTTGCCCTCTACCTTTTATAATTATTGATTTCTTTCTTATTTGGTGAGTAATATTTTTTTTGATGATTTACTCTTTTCTGATTAGTCATTGAAGAACGTTACACTCATAAAAAAATACGAAGAAATAAAGGACCAAGTGATATGATAGGTTCAGTATGAAAAAGTTATAATTTGGCCGAATTCTATCTCATTGAGTTGAGCTCACCCTTTCTTCGATAGGTACGACATTTAAATTTGTTTTAAATTTTAATCAAATGAATTTCAATTAAAGTTAAAATTTTCTTCAATACCAAATCATGCAATCCCTCAATTGGTTTACTTTTTGGAACATTACTGTTATTTATATGGTCTAGTATTATTTAACAAAAATACAGTCTCTCAAAAGTCAAAAATTGTACAAAATTACCAAGTGCGGTAATTATATTAACATGTTTAGTAATAGGTAATGTTTATTAGGACATAATTTGATAACACAATTCCAGATCTAATTAAGTTGTTGCTACAGATTGAAAAAGTATAGAAGTGTTAGATGGAGCTCATCGTCAATCTAATAAAAGTAATACATTAATTTTCTATTAAATTCCTATATTAGATACAAATAGTATTACTAGAGAAAAAAAAAGTATATCACATTAAAACCCCACACTTTCTAGGTTATTATTAACCATTTGCCTGCATTTATAAGTATCAAAATGCATTTATTGTAAAAAAATCTAAGAAATCTTTAACAATTAAAAACGGTGAAAACTTAAAAAATAGGAATCACAAAAAAACGTTGCACCTTTTGTTAACTTTTTGGAATGCAAAGTATAATTTTCATGATAAAATAGAAGGTAAAAAGGAACAAAAATATATCTCGGACCCTTAACACTTATTGTATATACTAATACATTTTATTTTATTATTATTATTTTTAATAACAATAAATTGATGTTACATATTTGTCACCCGATTAATTCCACATGTGCTAACGTACATAAAATAATAAAGTCATATCACATGTCAACATTCTTATTTAACTTTTCATATATTAAATAAAATAATTCTCTCTCTATAACCATTCTTTATAAAGTTATCTCTAAATACTAAAATATTCATCGTTCAGGTTTAAGTCTCATATCATTACTTGTAATTAAATACTAATCGTCAATCTTATGCATGCATGTCACATGTGAATATACTTATGACAAATATTATATGCTTGTAATGTGTGTACGGATCTTACAATTTTCCCCTCCTTAGAAATTTCGTCTCCGAATGAAAATGGGGTATTTCCATACATATCTATATATCCACTGATTAATACTTAAAAGTAGCATATTATTATGCCTTTTTAAAGACTGATTATACTTTTATGGAGTTCAAGTAAGGATATTTCAGGTTCTAAAGTGAACAAGGGGTCAAGGGCAACAAAAGTCACGCTTGGATATCGCATCAGCACATTAGGGAATGAAATTGGAGAGGCTGGGAACAAAGCAAGAATGTTCGAACACCAAATCACGTTCGAACGTCCATTTGAACTATGACAGAATCAGCCTACTAAGATAGTGTGTTGCAGTCAAGCACAGGACCCTGAGGTACTTGAGTACCACGTTCAAACACCAACTAACGTTTGAACGTCCACTTGAGTTGATTGAAGGCCAGACTAAAGAGACATGACCTGTTGCAACAAACAAAGGAGGACTCTGAAGCTCTGAACCACTTGAGTACCACGTTCGAACGCCAACTTACGTTCGAACATCCTCTGAAATCTTGAGAAGTCTACACCACTGGAACCTGGCATGTTGCAATAAAGAAAGAAGAACCACATAATAGAAGTACTTGTGTACAACGTTCGAATGCCACTCCACATTTGAACGTTGTCTTGAGTGATTGAGGACCAAGTTGCTGAGTGTAAGGTCAAAGTTGTTCAAGACGTATGGAATTGACCATCACAGAGACCACAGGCCACTTGAGTGGAAAGAATCAGACCCCATCTGGCGTTCAAATGCCCTCAAAGAAAAGACACAGACAACGTTCAAACGACATTTCACATTCGAACATCCTTAAAGAAAAGATAGACTCAACATTCGAACGTCATATCACGTTCAAACGTCCCCCACTGACTAGCTGCAGAGTTGTTGACTTTTCACTTGGACTTGGGCGGCAAACACTATTCCTTCACCCCCCCTCCCCTTCCTTACCTATAAATACTCCCATGTTGGGAGCTTAAAGGGGAGGCCTTTTTGTAAAAATAAAGAGCTTTTCTTCTTAGCAATTTTTCTTCTCTTGTAAATTAGAAAGTTAGTTTGTATACATTGCTTGTTTCATTTTAATATCAACCATGATGGAGGCTTAGACTCCCCTTGTAGTTGTACTTGCTTTTATTTACAAGTATCAATAGAGATAGCTCATCTTTTGGTTGTGGTGGAAACCCTCCAAAAGTAACTAGCTTTCTTCTACTTTTATTATTCATATATTTCACTTCTATTGCTTAAGCATCCCTCTTTCTTAGAAGAGTGAAATTCTTCCACTTTTCTAAAGTTTTACCAAAGTCGTGAAGGGTGGAAAGTGATTCACTTATTATTCATTGAATATAAGCTCTTTGTTTAGTTTGCTTCACTTAGTAGCTCCTCTACTTGGAGAGATGACCATTACTCACTTTTTTAGCTTTGCCAAGACCATCAAGAGTGAATAGTTCATCATTCACTCTTTAGTAAGAGGTGATGAATATTTAAAGATTATCCGGAAGTTATGTTTGTACAACTCCTTTATTGTTTAATGTTTTATATTCCACTTGCTTATTGAATGATTGAATACATCTAGCAAAATTGAGGTACTTCGTATAACCAAGGGCTCCCTCTATGATACAGATGACTCCCGCATAAAAAAACTCGTTGGTTCAAGGCAAGCACCCCCGCTAGCTTTTCATGACAACCTTTCAATCCCTAACATTATTGTGTTTTATTCAAAGAACGGATCATTAATGTCATGATTGGATGCCTTGTAGAAACACTTGCTTATTTGTAGATGGGTTAAGTCTCGACACAGACAATTCTTGTAAACTTCTAGAAAGGCATCAAAATCATGTGCTTAATTCTCATAGTCCATCTTTATCTTTCGATTAACTTGCTGTTGACACGGGAGTTAATTGAGTTATAAAGCACAAACATAATAAACTGGATAGTCTATTACATGTCCTAATCCTCGAGCTAAAGGGTGGTTGTTACATTTTGAGAATCTTATATTTTGTCTAGAAAACTCTTGAAAAGAATCTTCTATTCTATTCAAGAAACTCCACCACTCTAAACTCTCGAAATTTTCAGTTACTTGGTCTCTATTATGGCTTACTTCAAAACACCAATCATAGTTACATGTGGATTCGACTCTGGACTTAACCGGATTATTATTACAACTTGACCACCTGCACTTGGGTGTACACATTTCGGATCAAGTCAAATTTTTGGCGTCGTTGCCAAGCAACCATAAAAGGTGTTTTACAGTAAAAGGTAAGAAAACCTCACTTCTTGTGTATAAATTTACTTTACTGTATATAAAGTTGTTTTAATTACTTTTATGTCTGAAAATGCTCCTCACTATCAAAATTTGTCAGTTGAATCTCCTGGGTCTGTGAATAAATCTGAACCACTTTAACCTAGATCAGTAGCAGACTCTTGTGAAAGTAAAATGACAAATGGTGAAAGACGAGAGGAAATTCCTATAAGAGAGGGAGAAGTACCTAACATTTGAACTCTTAGGGATTACTTAAATCCCACAAGGAATAGTGTCCCCTCTTATTTTATCTTTCTTGAAGATGCACCCCTCTTTACTGTAAAGATGGGGACACTTCAACTACTTCCTCAATTTCATAGGCTCGAAACAGAAAACTCATATATGCATATAAAAGATTTTGAGGAAGTATGTGGAACTTTTCAAGACAATTCTAAACTGGTCTAAACTTTTCAATACCTGACTGGTGGGCATTATAAAATGAATATTTCATAAAGTTTTTTCCTCTACTCCGCACTAATGCATTGAAAAGGCAAATAATGAATTTTTTGGTCAAAGAAAGAGAAACATTTTACCAAAGTTAGGAGAAATTCAAGGATCTACTCATGTCTTGCCCACACCATGCTTTTGAGAGTTGGACTATGGTAGGATTTTTCTATGACTCTTTGCCCACTAGACTACGTCAGTTTGATGAAATGATGGCTCAAGGAGAGTTTATGAGCAAGAATTCGGAGGAGGCATTCAATTTTTTCGATACCATATCTGACAGTTCTCAGATGTAGGACTCATCCTCCCCTACCATTATTGAAACCAAACCATCTACTTCCCAAGGAGGTAAGTATGTCTTGAAAGAGGATGATAACCTAAGAGCAAAAATGTCCCCCTATCTCGAAAGCTTGAAGCTTTAGAAATAAAAAAGGTTCATCAAGTTAATGTTAGCTCTCCCACAGAACAAGTGTGTGGGATTTGTGCGCTAACAAGACACCCTACTGGGGAGTGTCCTATAATTCCAACATTCAAAGAGGTTTTGTTAGAGCAAACAAATGTTGTCTCTAATTTCAACAAGCCTTACTCCAACCCATACTCTGAAACATACAATTCGGGGTGGCGAAACCACCCAAACTTCAGTTGGAGAAACACACAACCAACTCCCATGAACCAACAACAAGGTTCACACTCACCACCTCAAGGACCTCCCACATACCAACCATACCAACCACCATAAAAGAGGAGCTTAGTTCATGCA